TAACTACTATAATGTGCTGGCTGTGAATGGCCACCCCTGCCAACAGTGCGTCCACCTTGTAGGGTCACAGTCCATTCATTTAATCTGTTTTCCCATCTGAGAACAATTCCCATTTTAATTACAAAGTTACAAGATTACAAAAAAAAATTTTTTTCCCCTAAAGCAGAATTTTCCACCTTGTCTCCATCATTCAGAAGCACACAGAATGGAAATCCAGTCAAGGAAATCATATTAAAAATATGGAATAGGAAATGGTAAAACAAGTGCCCTAAATAGAAGAGATTAGTGACAAGGCTTTGTTAATTATTATGAATTTCCCCAAATGTGCAAGTATTTTTGCTCTGTGATTTGTGCAATTTGTGTTCTTTACGTATGTCATGGGTGGTGACTTTGAGACAAAATGAAAGGTGTTTTATCAGAGAAAATTAGATCAAAGACACTGTACACTGTTATTAATTTTCTGACAAAATACAAGCTTCCCGTTCTTTATATTAGGTTTGAGCAGCTGAAAATCATTTTGAGACTTCTAGAGCTAACCCTGAGATTTAAATACTCTGTGTAGTCTAAGACTCCATGTAGGACAGGTCTGTTGTACAAAGCTAGAGTATAATTTGCATAAAGGGATATTTTTATCCCATGACACCACTGGACTGTTAAAAATTTATTGGTTTTGTACAGGAGCCCTAAGCAGTTGCCCAGGACCACACAGGCTGGCTCTTTTCTCAGGCAGCACAGTGGAGAATAGAACTCCGAACCTCTGGCTCCACAGCCAGATACATAAACCACTGAGCTATGCAGTCTTAGAGCTAACCCTGAGATTTAAATACTCTGTGTAGTCTAAGACTCCATGTAGGACAGGTCTGTTGTACAAAGCTAGAGTATAATTTGCATAAAGGGATATTTTTATCCCATGACACCACTGGACTGTTAAAAATTTATTGGTTTTGTACAGGAGCCCTAAGCAGTTGCCCAGGACCACACAGGCTGGCTCTTTTCTCAGGCAGCACAATGGAGAATAGAACTCCGAACCTCTGGCTCCACAGCCAGATACATAAACCGCTGGCCTATGCAGTCTTAACACATACACTGAAGTCTAGGCTTTTGGTAATTATGTTGGACTTTATCCACCCACAGCGAAATGTTTACTGCAACTATGAATGTGTCCCTTGGGGAGTTTTGGTCCAGTGAAAATCCAACTCCTCCTTTATTCTGTCCCTTCTCAGCCTCCCTTATTGTTCTCTGGCAGCACGTCTTCCTCAGCAGGGCTGTCAGACCACTCTGTCCACAGATCTCTGAAATCAGCTGACAGATGGATATTTCTGCTGGCAGGCAGAGATTTCTGCTAACAGAAGAGGCTTGTGCCTAATCCTGACTTCTGCAGGCTCTTCTTTGAATTAAGACTGCACTGTAACTGTGTCACTATTAGCAATCCAACATGGAGCACAGTAAAACTTGTAGAAGAAGAAGGAAAGGGTGTCATACTCTAGGAAAAGGTGGAAGAGAAGGAAGGGGGCAGTGAAAGCAGAGTGGATTGTTTTGTGTTGTTTGATTATAAAGTTCTACCATTATAAAGCAAGATTAGAGCCTTGTTTCCTGTCAAATTTTGAGGATTCATCCCATCATACTTAAGAGGTATGTGGAATTGCTGCAGTGTTAAGTACAAACCTGAGCCAAGTTAAGAAAAAACTGGATTGAAAATGGCTGATCGGCAACAGTGTATACATTGTGGTTGTGCTGAGTAATGTTTTGCCTCTGGGCCTATGTGCCAAGAGCATGGACTATGGTCAGCATGGGTGGTGGTGGTGTGAAAGACTTATAGATTGGATAGCTCAGTGTTCTAGGCATCTCGCTCCAGAGCCAGAGGTTGGGAATTCGATTCCGCACTAGGCCTCCTTGACAGAGGCAGGACTTGATGATCTACAGGATCCCTTCCAGTTCTGCAGTTCTAAGATAAGAATGATCCATCAACTCAGAACAAAAAAGAGGAAAGTTAAGACTCAACTCTCAATAAATTATTAGCTTCCTGGACTCTGTCATGGGTCCTGAAAGTCCTTTGGCCAACTTTCCCTGTGTTCCTACCTTGGCTTCTCATTTCCTTCCAACCCAGATTCTTTGTCAGATTGCACTCTGTTCACTTGTTCCTTGAGCTCTGCTTTACCCATACCAGGATTATTTGGTAAACTCACATAAGTTCAATATTATGGAATCTAGATATATTTTTTTTGCCTATTGGTATGCAAAATACATAAATAACTACATGGAGGGGCAACACAGCCACAAGTATATTACTACATAGGTAGAGAAGGAACAGATGCATTTTCCCCAAGAATTTGCTACATATGCTTCCAATTTATTTCTCTGTGATGCATCTGTAAAAGAGATGCTAGCCCCCTTCCAGAAGAGCAAATAGATAAATGACCGGGTACAAATTCAGCAAGTTCAGCTTTAAAGTGAGATGCGGTGTGCATGCATAATGATCCCGTTTAGTGTTTACAAATTACATGGAGGTTAATACTGCAAGATGTTGTCTCCAGGGTCATCTGATGAGTAATGCCAAAACAGACTCAGTCATTCACCAGTCTTTCAGTAGTTTGAGTGATGATGTATCAGACTGTGACTAAATGTACTAATGTAGAAACAGTTCTTCAATGGTAACAATAAAATTTCCTCTTTATTTTTTGTGTCTGTCTGACAAATCAAATGGCTGTTATAGCTGCAGGACAGTCCTGACATAGACCAGAAAATCAGCAAATACAGAAAAGTGGGGAATGTTGAAATTTATTTAACATAATTTTTTCAACCCAAAAGACACAGTCAATCAGGTGTTCTGATTTAAGCCATTTCACTTCTCTCTCAAAGGCTCAAGTAAATCCCCTGTAAGCATTATTTTCCTTGATGCAACCACTTTTAGCAATCTGGATTGAGAAGTGTGGTGAAACAGGTAACTGTTTTCTGAGAGATATGTTCCAACAGGTATTGAGGGTCCTAAACTATTGAGGGCTTTATAGGTCTTAATTAGCATCTTGAATTAAGCATGGAAGCTGACACAGAGCCATTGCAGGCAAGCCAAGACTGGGAATCTATGATTGAATTTACTAGTCCCAGAAATCAGTCTGGCCACTGCATACAGACCTGCTGAATTTTCCATACTGTTTTCAAAGGCAGGACTGTATTACAGTATTCAAATTTTGAGATTACCTGATGAAAAAAGAAGTTAGTGTTTGGGATTTTCCCCTGCATGGTGTCACTTTGTGAATCATAGTAAGCACAAGAGGTCCTGTAGACCATCTTGCCTGCTGACATTGGTGTTGTCAATATTCAGGCTGCCCTTTGATATGTAAACTTCGGCATCCTTTTTTCTACTGGTAACAAAGACATCATATTGTGCAGCAACGTCAGGCTGTTTCCTGGTGTTTTGAATTGTGGATAAAGAAATACAATATCCCTATATTCATAAATTGGAGGGGGGTTTTGAAGAATGGAATTATGATTTTTTTTCAATACGAACAAGTACAGATATATGTACACCCAAGTATGGTGATATTTCCTGAGTCCAGAGTACCCTTCTCTGATTCCTTTTGACACCTGTCTTTCCAAAATGACACTTTTTCCTGATCCAAGGACTTACTGTGTCATTTCAAGATACAGATTTCAGGAGACAGGGGACAAGTTATTTTATGGATTTGAAATGAATAAATAGGAATAATCCTCTTGATTTCCAAGTAATCAAGTTCTGATTCTGTAACTTAGGGGAACAACAATCCTAACAAGTACTTCAGAAAGAGAAATACATGGTGGCATAGACTAGAGCTTTGTGACCTTGAATACTTTCTCATTCTGCCCTCTGAAGAATGTTGTTGTGTTCTATAATTCTTTTGGAAACTTTCTCAAGATGTTCAGAGGCTGAAGAGTTTAAATGTTGGAAGCCAAAGCAGTACTTTTCTTTGCCAGTTATGGATAATTAAAATAATTTGACAGTTTTGCTGAGCAATGGGATCCATTCATAAGTGCGGTAAAGCAAAGTATGGGTGTTTAAAAGTGACCTTCTCCACACATTGAAATCTGTTAGGCAAGAACTTAAAATCTGACCAAATGCAGAGAGATTGCTACAGCTGTTGTGAAGCATGAGATGTGGTGCTTAGCAGCAGTGCCACTGATGACACTCTGGTCTGCTATGACAGCCCAGTATGTTCTGTGATGCTGTAGATGAGGTCCATAAAATCTTGCTTCTTATTCTTACAAGAGATGTGGAACTGCAGTTTCCCCCTCCTCATCCTGAATGATGACAAAATATTTTCTGGTGATATTTACCGGGAACGTTTTTCTGTGTGCTTCATTTCATAAAGGGAAAGATAATAGATTTAGGCAAACTGCCATAAAGACATGGTGTGCAAATTGCAGAAATCTTGATAAAGAAAAGAAGCTCTCCTTCTCTTGCCTTTGCTTTGCAGTTGAGGGATCTCCCAAGGCTTGCAGGTTTCTTCTCATGGTAGTACATGTATTGAGACAACCAAAATCAATGGGAACAAAGAATTTAGCAGATATTCTGTGCAACCATGATGCAGAGAGTGGAAAGGCTTTAGCTGTTTCATATAGTGAGATTCTTTCCAAATGAATATGTATAGGACTAATTGTTAAAATACTGTAGGCTTTTAATACAGCATTTTAACATGCTGCAAGCTTTCAGGTTAGGTCAAGAAAATGTACAGAGAATCTGATAATTTAAACAAGTCTTCTTCTTCATGGAGTTGGGTTGGGAAAGCAGAAAATGAGTAACCGGGTTTACCCTACAGCAACAATAAGTGTGAGAGATGCCAAGGAGTGTGCTTCAGGACTTGTTTTAAATATGTTAATTATTTACATCTTTGGAGTAGAAGGGCCAACAGAAAAATATGTACATGTAAATATTCAAGGTGGCTTAATATGATGCCAACAATAGGAAGCAGAGCATGCATCTAACCAACTCTCTCTCTCTCTCTCTCTCTTTGTTTCTTCTGCAGGGCTTGTGAAGTTGGGGGTTCACTGTGTAACATGTCAAAAGGTCGCTATAAAAATTGTCAACAGGGAGAAGCTCAGTGAATCGGTGCTAATGAAGGTAATTTTCTAATGGAAGAGTTGGCAGGTTGGGGGAAGGGGAGAAAACTTCTTGGCTCTATGTCTTCTGTTCCATGCAAAATTAATACCTTTAATTATGTTTAACAAACATCCCTGTCAGTACTTGGTTGTGATTTGCATAATAAAATGATACTAATAATTCTGGACGGGGGGGTGGGAAAACTGGAATTAAAGATGGAGCTGTATGCATAGGCTTTAATTACGAACAAAAATTAACATCATATGTAGCAACCTAATGGAATGTGAAACAGTTAATGTCTTGGCTGGGCTGATGTGAGCTGTACTTTCAGCACAGGGTTATTCTGGTTCCATTGTTCTGACAGATGCGAGCTTCTGGCCTTGGTCTGTGATAATTTATGTAGATAATATCTGCATTTGGAACTTTCGTTGTTACTGGTAACTGAGTCTTTGTTGTTCATTTTAGCAGGAAGGAGGCTCTAAAACCTTTTCTGTAAAAAAATTTTAACAGTAGGCAAGACTTGGTCCAGGCTTGACAAAAGTGGAAATGTATTTCACTTTCCTGTGTTCAGCTCTACTGATAATGTTTAGTGGCGATGGAAAGGACAGCAATGTAATAAAATGAATGCTTGTGAAATATTTTGATGCTATTAGTTCACCTTTATTAGAGGTGGTTCTTCTTGTCTGTTTGTGCTTTAGGGGTTGGGGGTTCATTCTTCATATCTAGCAAGACTGTAAGAAAGGCAAGGTGGCTGTAAGGAACAATACCTTTCCCACGCTGCATTAAAGAAGCGGTTCTTGCTTTATATTTCTTGACATAGGCACTTTAGTTCCTTTAAGCCGTTGATGTATACTGCAAGCTAGCAGAACAAAAGTGAGTTTCTTCAACTGCTTTGCAGCTTTAAGGAGATAGCCAGACACCTTTAAGGATCCCCTTACTCAAATGCCAAATAACTGCTAATCAAAATTGCTCCTTTCATTGAAGCATCAATGCCACCAGCTCATTTATGTGTGAGATACTGATTGGGGCAAGATTAGAATTGTTGAAAATGGCCATCACTTCATCAGCACGACTTAACTGAAAATGTTCCAAACACGTTTTACATTTTGGAAGGAGGAAAAGAAGAAATGCATTTGTCTTACTACTCTCACACTGCCTTCCAGTAGTACATTTCACAGAGCCTGTCAAAAGGCTTGAATGGGAGCTATATTTACGGTAATAAGAAATCACTAATTTCATGCTGTGTTTGTTTATGTATTTTATTGTATCTGACATGAAATCTGAAGTACTGTGGAAATCTTGTACCTTTCAGCACCTCAAAATATGAAACTCACAATCCTAGGTTCAAGGTAAAAAGAATGCAAATTGCTTGGATAACAGGTTAAAATTTGATCATACATTTGAATATACTAATATAATGGCCCAAATTCTATTACTTACAAGTTGGTGCACAACAGCAAAAAGCCTTTGCTAACTTCTCAACTTGTGGCAATGCACCAGTAAGATTTACATCAATTGCATTAGGCTGGTGGATGCAACTAATAGGATTTCAGCCTATGTCATTCCAAATACTGTATAAGGCTTTTTCTCATTTATGTATTGTAGGAGCAGATGTAAAATGTGTGAATTAGCCAACAGTCTTGTATGTTAACTAGACTCCTCGGAGACATGTTTCTAAAGTACAAATGTGAAGCTGGCTCGAAAACTCACCAGTATAGAAAGCAAGTGAGGCAAGCTGGAGACTGAGCTGCTTTCTGATGCGTTTGGTTGCCTTGCACAATACCTACCCCTTCTCCATTCCATCCCAAGCCCTCATCCTTTCTCTTTCTCGGTTTTGTGTGTGTGTGTGCACGTGTGCTCACACATTCATGTAGCTATTTTGTACGTTGTAAAAACTGGCCTCTTCTCTGCAGCTGCTCTTCATTTAAGCTTCGTGGGATTGAGAGGCATTTGGTAAAGTGCTTTCTAATCATAACGTAATACTATCAATATTTCTGGAGAGAATAATTCAGAATTGGAGCAGCTGGTCTCAATTAACCAAACTACTTCTGTGGAGAGGATACACGGAGAGGCGTGGCGGAGATTGAAACTGCAACAAACGTGTCATTTGAGCCTGGATGGCCCTATCCAAGGCGCTGGATCGTGGGTGGATTTTTAAGTGTAGACATATGGCTTATTCTCAAAGTGTCCATTTCGGCTTCTGAGGCTATTATATTCAGACTCATTTTACAGCACTTTTATTTCTGAAATCATTCTGAACAGAATTTTTAAGAAGCCAGCAGTCTGTTAACAATATCAAAACAGAATCTGCTCCTTTTGTTACATACATGGAGGGCTTAACAAGTATAAGGTATATGTTCCAAAATAAGAGTCTTGTTTTGGTTGGAGTTCTCTCTCTGGCATGGTTTTATTTCCTTTTCTTTCTTTTTTTACTTTATTTATATGTAAGCATTCTCCCCACAGGAAACTCAAGGGTAGCCCACAGTCAAATTAAAATAGCAGAGTTAGTTAGGCATCCTTCAGTCTCGAAAGACTATGGTAGCGTGCTCTGTATGGAGGGCTTGGAACAGCGCCTAGTGTGGCTGAGGAGGCCAATTCGAGAGTGACAGTCCCTTCCACACTGAAGACAAATCCAGTCTGTCCCCTGTCCGGCTCCCTGGTTTTGCTGCTTTTGTGACTTCCTCTTTGCCTCGGCCTGCTGGGCAAGGGTCTCTTCAAATTGGGAGAGGCCATGATGCACCGCCTGCCTCCAGGCTGAACGCTCAGATGTCAGGTTTTCCCATCTGTTGAGGTCTGTTCCTAAGGCCTTCACATCTCGCTTGCAGATGTCCTTGTTTCACAGCTGTGGTCTCCCTCTGGGGCGCTTTCCCTGCACTAATTCTCCATAGAGGAGATCCTTTGGAATCCGACCATCAGCCATTCTCACGACATGCCCGAGCCAACGTAGACGTAATCACAATTTAATAGCAGTAATCACAATAGCAGAGTAATCACAATTTAAAATAGCATAAGATATAACCCTAAAAAGCAGATAACCACATGGCAATATTAAAAGCCACAATTTCAGACACTAAAAAAAAATAATTTAAAAATTTCTGCATTCAAAATTTAAATGGTACTGTGGTTCTACTAGAACATTGTTCAAGCAGTGAGGCAAGTAGTCACCTTGGAGCCAAAGTCCAGGAATCCACAGCAGCATATGGGTGGGGGATGGACATCCAAAGGGTATGAGATGGCAGGGCGAGTAGCAACCGTGCCTGGTATTGACACATTGGGAGTTGTGGGACTGATGTTGCTCGCTACAGCATCCTTTCATTCTAACAATAAGCATCCAAGGTTGAACCAGAGCTGTTCTACAGTCATGGCCAAAAATATTGGCACCCTTGCAGTTCCGTCAGAAAATGCAACCCTTCTCTCAGAAAATTGCTGCAGTTGCAAATGTTTTGGTACTCACATGTTCCTTTCTTTGTGTTGGAACAACACAAAAAAACAGAGAAGAAAAGTCCAATATGATACAATCCCACACAGAAACCCAAAAATGCACTGGCCAAAAGTATTGGCACCCTTAATTTAATATTTGGTATTACCACCTTTGGAAAAAAAATAGCTGAAATCAATCGCTTCCTGTAACCATGAATGAGTTTTGTACACCTCTCTACTCGAATTTTGGACCACTCTTCTTTTGCAAACTGCTCCGGGGCCTTCAGATTTGAAGGATCCCTTCTCCCAAATGCTGTTTTGAGATCTCTCTACAGGTGTTCTATGGGATTCGGATCTGGACTTATTGCGAGCCATTTCAGAACTCTCCAGCGCTTTGTTTGTAGCCATTTCTGAGTGCTTTTTGAAGTGTGTTTCGGGTCATTGTTGCATTTTCTGACAGAATGGCAAGGGTGTCAATATTTTTGCCCATGATTGTAATGCACAAGGTCCCAATCTGATTTTCAGGGACTTGACGTGGCCTTTGTGTAGCATTTTTGGAAGACTGTGCTGTGGAGAATCAGGAGTGGAAACATCCCTTTCCACCATCCCAGTTGCATATGTTTAAATCCAACCTTCTATATCAGACATGTGCAGAGAAGAAGTGGTATCTTTTGTTTGTTTGTTTGTTTGTTTGTTAGACTTCTACCCTGCCCATCCAGACCAAAGGTCTTCTCTTGACCTACCAGTCAGAAAGAAAAGATTGATATTTTGGATGCACTTATTTAATAGGTAAAGTGTGCGTTTCCTAAGTACGCCTGGTATTTGCTGCCTTAGTACCTACTTCCACCGTTCATGTGGACTCTGCCAATGCTGTTTGGGAAAAGTTCAAGGCTACGGCCAAAGTGAAACAATGTGGGCTGCTTAATATTTCTTGTAAAATACAGGTGCTGTTCAATGTAATAACCTAATATATACAACCAGATCTAGCAAATGATCTCTCTTTTGGTGCCTAAGAAGACACTTTTTAGGTTTTCAGAGGAAGAAATAGGAGTTTTCAGGGTATGGTACTGAACTGCTACAGTAAAATGTATCATGGGTTTAGGCTTCTATTCAATCATACCAAAGGTGTAATGATCTAATCTTATTCCAGATCAAATACAACATTTCACCAAGTATCTGGAACATTGTTATCTCTCTACAGGGTGATGACTAGGTTTCTGAATGAGATAATACTCTCTGGCAATCCTCTGAAAAGCTTATTTAATCAGTAAATAAGAAAAGCCCTGCTGGATCAGACCAAAGGTACAAAATCTGTTGCTAGCAGTAGCTTTCTAGATTCATTTGGAAACGTTAGCAGCAAGGAATGAGGGCAATAGTTGTTCCGTGGTATTCATCCTTTGCGTACTGCCTTGTGTACTGTAGAGCAGTGGTCCCCAAACTTGGGCCTCCAGATGTTCTTGGACTACAATTCCCAGAAGCCTTCACCACCACCTCTGCTGGCCAGGATTTCTGCGAGTTGAAGTCCAAGAACATCTGGAGAGCCAAGGTTGGGGACCACTGCTGTAGAGGTTTCATCCCTTTATTA